CGAGGAGAGACTGAGGGACTTGTGCGCTGTGGGAGAGCCTGATGGAGAGCGGGGGTCCGGGGAGAGAACGTGAGGAGGGGGATGGCGGCAGAGGCCGCTTGGGAGAAGGTGCTCCATCCGTTGGGCTGATATTCCATGGTTTTTCCTTGAAATCGCTGCCTCGGAGGTGTCAGCTGGCGAAGCAGAGCTCCATAACCGCTGCCAGCCCGACGCTGCGAGACAACAGTTGTCTTCCCAGTAGTTCGCAATACACCGTCTTCAAAAGTTTTGGCAATTCACATGCCTTAAAGCTCGCTGCAGATCAAGTGTCTGCCAAGCTGCGTGAGAGGGGCTTGGGGAAATTGATTTCAGGATTGTTTTGCTCACTGGAAGTGTCTTTCCTAGGACATGTCGCATAAAGCAGAGATTTGTTTCTTCGTGATGGTGCAGTAGTACCATGGGAAAGAATGTTCCTGCCGGGGGAAAGGGGTTCGAGCTAGATGGGTCTTAAGGTCTTTTCCAACCCAAACCATTCTATGATTCAATGGTTGGGGTGAGAGGGAAAATCTATGACAGATCAAGGGAAGTATCTTCACATAGGTTTTCTGTTTGAAGCCAGAGTAGTGTGTGGAGCTTTGCTGATAACTATCTCATGGGTAGGTAGCTGAAGTCTGCAGTGAAGTTTCCAGTGGTTTCAAATTCGTATGAAGCTGCAACTTTTCCATTGTGAACTGGTAAAGAACACTTTAAATTATTTTCAACTGTGGAAGAAGGAAGGGAAGGTTTTGTGGTTGCACCTGATGTCTGATCATTCAGTGCCAGTCTTCTCTTATTTTACATTTGAGCAATCAACAGTGGACAGCTCTTGAGAACAACAGGACTGGTTGTGTTTCTGATGCTGCTTCAGTTTGCTGTTCCCAGTCTATGGCTGTGGGCATGTTATTTGGGTGCAAAGTCTTTTCCAGTTTATTCACACATACGAAGCAGATCAGGAGAACTGGAGATGCACAGCAGTGTGGTATGCAATTATTGTGTTGGCTTAAGACACTTGCCATGTTTTAATAAAAATTAGGAGTGCGTTAAGATTTCAGCTGTGCTTTCCTTGGTATAGAGAGGCCTCCAGCTGTTGAAAGGTGTGATGATGAATCCATGAGAGCATTGGCACTCTTCAGAGAGAGAACTGCATCATTGATACAGCGACTTCTAAGAAACAAGAGAAATACTGGATTTGTAGAGACAGCAGTGAGAACCATGTAATAGTTCCTGTTGGTTTTCAAGCATCTAGCTCCTAGGATTTGATAGGGCAGAAGTGTGAAGAGCCCATGGCATAGAGCATAAAAGTGAGGCCAGACTTCACTTACAATATAACCCTGGTTATGTTAAATAAAAGGCAAATCATCACTTTGGATAAAATATCTTGGGTAGAAATGTCCTGATGAGTGTGGTGTTTGGAGATTCCTGAGCTGATCCCTGTTTAGTGTAGGTACGGGGGTTTGAAGAACAGCCTTCTTCCAGAGTAGCATGAAAGAGGGGGGAAAGATGTTGAAGTACTTATGTACGTTTGCATGATCTATCCTTATTTTTCTCCATGAACATTTGCTTGACAATGGAAGTGAAGCAGAAAGGCAAAGTGAACTACTATTTTTCTGTAAAAACTGAAATGGCTCTTGGAGTCCATCTCCAGTGCAGTGATGTCCTTATTCCACTGTTTTACATAAAAGGCTTGATCCTTAGGGGTAAACAAGTAGGAGTATATGAAAGAGAGATCTGAATATTGTTGCTTACTGGGTGGCTGGCTGTTGAAAACAGAACTTCAGAGAGATTTAGAGGTGACCACTGTGGTAATGTTATTCTGTGTCATTAGTATCCACTTGATAGTTTATTTGCAGTGTGCCTGCAAGACCTTGGATTGTGGATCTGAACCAGAAAACAAAAGCAAAAATAAGACTGTGGCTTGTAGGAATAGTGCAGTACCTTGACCATTATGAGTCGCTTCGATACTGGTGAGACGGGAGACTGCTATTTGCATGGTTTTTATCAGGGATTTATAAACAGCTGGAGTTCATAAACTTGTGTGTGCTGGACATCTGCACTGGCACACCTTTCTAAACTGCGATATATTGCTGTTATACTTGTTAGTATGTTTATTTCTAGCAATGTGGTTTTTTCTCTGGTGGTATTCTTACCTGAAAAATCCTTCTTTTCTGTCTCTCTATAAAAACATGCCTGTAGACAAAAGTGGGTGGCTGAGTCCTGTGTTGTAAAAAGAAATAGCAGAAATGGATGTCTTCACGTAGTAGCAAATCAGCAATGTACTTGTCTGAGAAAATTTTCATTGGAATTTACTGTTTTTGCAAGTATAATTAAAAGTGTACTTCTGTCTGAAGATGGGAATGGTATTTCTCTATGTGTACAGCTCTCAGAGACTTGTTTTTTTCTGTTGGCTTCTCTTGACTAGTTGCTGTTTAATAAAGTCGAGTTTTATTTTTGTGTTCGTGATTTCTCAGCTTATTTTCTCAGTTATCTGAATAAACCTTCCGAAGGTATAGCAGTTTATTTGGTTACATGGCAGTAAGCAAAGCCTTTTTTCCTAATCAACAATAAGCAATAGATTTTTGTGTTCAGAAAATCATTGTTTGCCTGTTTTTTTTTCTGTTCTTATTCTCGCATTCTCGAGTAACTGAACATGCTTTCAATTAAATGCCCGCAGATAGTGCTTCCATTTCTATCAAAAGCATATTTTAATCTTTAAGAGTTAACATGAACTTTATTTGGGTTTTTTTTTGCAAGCTTTGTTTCACCAAATACGTAGAAAAATTGTGGATTAGAGCAAAATACGCTAATTACCAACATACCATTGAATTGGAAAAATGTAAGTGCCCCAATGTTAAAATAAAACCAAAAAATGATGTCCTCAACTAAAAACTAAAACAAAGAGCCCTGCTGCGTCCCAGCCTGAGCCCCTGGTCATTAGCAAAGCTCTGTTGAGACTTTCAAGTTTCGTTGCTGGTTCTATAATGAACGTGTTTTTACCGGAGCAGTGACGTAATGCATGTCCCATTTTCAGCTTCCAAAATAGGATTGATGCTCGCAGGTCTGGTTTTTCTTTTATCTGAACTGGAAGCAGCAGTTCCAGTTTTTCAAAGTGCTTTTTGATTCTGGGGTATTTATTTTTCAAAAAAGACACCTATAGAAATTATAAATATGGTTTCTAAAATCAGAAAGTAGATTACAAAAACCTAGATGTACCATTGGAAGATGATCTGTAATGTTAGTTTTGCATACAGTGACTTGCTCTTGTTTGCAAGCTTCATTCCCAGGAAGTTTCTTTTTTCTTTTTTTTTTTTTTTTTTGTGTGTGTGTGTAAGGGAATATTTAAGAATTCTGAAGTGTAGAATTCAGAAATAAGGTGAAAATAGTTTTTGTTTCAAGCATTTTGTTTTAGTGTGACCACAGTATTTCCTTAAACACAAATGCCTTGTATATTCTTCTCTAAAGAAATATAATTTGTTGCTTAAGAATACCTCTAAATACACTTTTCTGACACTCTTAAGATTGTATGATGCAGTAGATCTTTTTGTGTTTGTTTCCCAGATGCTTTAATGTCTTGAGAAAGTGTATAGTAATTTTATACTCATGAGATGCAATAGCAGGTAGTGGTTTGAACAGAATGCAACTTTGCTGTGTTTTCTGGAAATGAATATTAAAAATTCAAGTTGTTGGACTGGTGAGTGTGCGTCATTTTTGGCTTGGAACCTTTATTTAGCTTTTCTTAGGTACTTAGTGAATCTTCAAAGTTTGTTGTGGTAGATGTTATTAACGTTATTCAGGTCTTTCACTGTCAAATGCAGATAGATGTTGCTGCTGAGTTAGGGGGAAAGGTTGAATCGAAACAGTTGTTACCTCTTTCTGTTGGAGCTGCTGATGTGATTTTTCTTCCAAATACTAAGACAGTTGAAGGCTATTGCTACCTTTAAACTTAATGTATTGTAATTCTCCTGCTGACAACCTGGAGCAGTAACATTTTCTTTGGGGCTTTCCTGGAAAATTGGACTCGACTCTGTGTGTATCTCAGAAGTCGTTAGTGTATGAAGTGAAAGCTTGTTTCCGCTTGCAGGGACAAGAGTATGTACATTGTTGGTAGTTATTGATCATCGGTGCACTAATATTTGTATAGCAGTTGTGGCATTTGTTTCGTATTTTTGTGGTTTTGTTGAATTTTGTACTAGAAGTTAAAGTGCAAATTTAGTGTTACAGATGCTTCGTCTTTATATGTCATCTTTCAATTAGGTAGCAAGAAAACTAGTGATTGTACATAAGTCTGCAAGGACTCTTAATTTCTGGGTTTTTTTCCCCTCCAGTACAGTTAATCTTGCTTTCTACATCATTGAGTTCATTGTTAATAAAGTAGGTAACAGAGGAAGGAAGAAATGGGGACATATTTTCAGTCTCTTTTTCAGTTAGAGAGCTCATATGAATGTGTCAGTACTGCAGGTATACATGTGTGTTTTTAATTAATAGCATTATAAATACTTGTTGAAGCTTTTGCTTTCCTGTAGCTTAATTTCTCATTTAATTGTTATTTTATGGTCAGCTGGTTCCTTTAGTAACTTGTAGCTGAAAGTGTATAGAGTAGCACAGTAATCTACCTAAACTGTGTTATGTGGATGTTTAAATACATATGTTAAGAATCGATGTAATCTCCTAGGAAATACTATTGAGAGATTTGACTACAGCAGTTCTATAAAAGCTGAATAAAGTCTTTATAAAATTTGTAAAAATGCTAGACTTTTTCTAAAAAAAAAAAAACCAACAAAACTAACAACAAACCTCTATGAAAACAATATTAAAGCAAAATAATGTTGAGTTAGTCTATGAAATACAAGAAAAGTGTATTTTTACTGCTCAAATGAAACAAAATTAAAAAGGTTTTGACTGCTTTTCAAATCTTTGACTGATTTGCTTAACAGCTTGGTAAGAAAGCTCATCTGAGAGGAAACTCTCAGCTTGACAGCACTTTTGCATTGAACCCTTCAACCCATCACTTAATTGGTATTTACTTGTTGTCACCCAAATTCTTTATGTATAGTGGCTGAGTAGTGATGGTGTTGAAGAGTTCTGGATTAAATGCCTTCCTCTTTTACTCAGTGTTGAAAATTATTGTGTGTACTTCAGATGACTGCCATTTACCATCGTGTAGCATATGTGTGCTTCTTCCAGGAGATGTTTTTCCAGTGTTCAAGGTCAGGTTGGCAGAGCGTTGGACAACATGATCGAGGATGAGGTGTGCCTGCCCATGGCAGGGAGTTGGAACTGGGTGATCTTAAGGTTCTTTTCAACTCAAATCAGTCTATGATTGTATTATTCTAAATCACCTTCTGGAACCATAACAGAAAATGGTTATGTGAACAGTTAAGCCCTTGTCATTGAGGGACTGATAATCTTCAGTGCGAGGGAGGAGTAAAGGTACAAATAGGCACCTGGAGACAATAACCACTTAAACTGGCAGCTACAGCCATAGTAGCTCTTCAGGCAGAGCTGTAAAATCACATCAACAAAAGGATCTTGCTTTTGTTGTCTTTAGGTGAGTAATCATTTTTTGTTTTGTAGCCAAGTATAGGAAACCAAAACATTTGCTACTAAAAATAAGTTGTTTTTTCCACTAGGACATGTTTCGATGCCTCTTCTGCTATCCAAAATGTTTCATTTATAATTTGACGTTGTGTCGGTATTGTCCCAGTGAACAATGAGTAGGAGCACTGGATTTTTCTCTGTTATTCAGGCCTCTTCTCAAGTACAGAAGTTTTTGTCAAGGCAAGATTTATCTGTCTCAGGAGTGACTGTAATTAGTAATGAAACCTGTGGAGCATTCCTTACTTGTCCTACTTTGGTGTAGGCTATGTTCTCTGTAAGAGAGAAAATCTTAGAAAATCAAATGCTTGGGATGTATTATTCGTAGGAATTGATTTCCTTCAGATGTTTAAAAGCTGTTCAGATGGAGTTCCTTTATCCAGCAACTGGTCTTTGCTGGCAAACTGTAAAGCCCACAGAACCAGCTGCAAAACTGGAACTGAAGTATGGATGCTTCAGCTTTTTGTGTAAATGCTTATGTAATATGGAAATATTAGGACAGAAGGGAGTCAATCTTGGAAGAGCTGTATACAACTGAAAAATCCTTTCCAAGGAGTTTTTTCCTTTTCTTAGGAATTTCTTAATGCAATATTTGTAGGACTTTTGGCAGTATTTTCACTGTTATACAGCATTAAGAATTCTTACAGTGCAAAGATGTGAAGCATTACATGAAATTTATTTGGAGTAGTTACATGAAGTATATTTTTCTGGAATGTATTTTAAGTTAGATGTTAGTATTTATACAAAGTACTTAGTAACGAATCAGTTAATCCTTGTTATGATAGAAAACTGAAGACGAGGAATAAATAGCAGTACTTGAATGAAGTGCTTAAGTGATTAGGTACCAGTTAACCTCTAAAACAGGGTGTTGTTCCTTTATTGGAAATTCTGTATGTCGTTGGGAAGGATGTAGTTTCCAGCTTCACTTGCGATAATGCTTTATGTATTAAAAAGAAAGAATAAAGGAAGTGGGTCGATGTACTAGACTTTTAGGTAGAGCATTGTTCTGATTAGTTTTGTATTAAGTCCTGAGTTCCAAATTTGATGCCTGCTTGAACTAGGAAACCTTATGAAATCTCAGGCTTCTGTTAAACAAGAATGCCAAATGCATTAGTATGACAAAATACCTCAATAAAAGGCTTAATTTTAAGCAAGTATTTCCCGTTTCTAATATGGGAGCATGGAGACTCAAACACATATATTTTATTAATTCAAAAACCATTAAAGGTGTTTAATAACGCTTTGGTATTAAATTCTGACTCCTAAAGTTCTTAATAGTACTTAATCTTGACCAAGCTCTCTTGTTCTTAGAAACAAATGAAACAATCAGACAAAAGCACATTTCTGTTGCATCATCATTTAAAACTGAAAGAAAGATTAATGGTAGATAATAATCTTGAGATTATTCATGTTCATTTGAACTATAACAACAAAACCATAGCTCGGAGCAGATTTTATTTTTTTCATAAAGCAATATGCACCTTTGTGACAAATGCTTTAGGAAAAGAAACTCCAGGTCTCTGTGTGCTTTCAATGTACGTTTGTAGGTAGGTACATGTTACAATTGTCTGTTTTTCTTTTTAGGGCTCATGTAATCAAAGGAGTTTCTTTGTTGTGTGTATCTTTTCAGAACGCAACAGGAATTCAAAATGAATCAGGTGAGTATGAATGTAAGACTTTATCAAAATTCTTAGATGTTAGACAGTTAATAATAAGTAAACTATCCACTATAATAGAAATGTGCTTTAAAATCTTCAATGTATTTAAATTTCATAATCCTTCTTTCCACAATGTGAGTGTTTGTGAGATTTATTTTATTTCACTTCATGATTTGTTTTGTGTATGAGTTGCCTTTAGTACCATGTAAGTTACTACTGTTGGCACCTCTTATAAGAACACCTTTTTCAGAAAAATCTATTTCATTCGGAGGCTTTTTGTAATAATTCAACTCCTTATGAAAGTGCCTTGAAAATGGAAGGCTTCCATTTTTTTTTTTTTTTTTTTTAAAATTTTTTTTAGCCACTTTACCATTTCAAACGTGCAGTGAACAATCTGTCACAGAAATTGGTTGATCAGGAAGTTTCACCCTAAACTTTTTCCCTAGAATCAAGTGAAAAGACTGGGGAAACACTTTTCTTTTGTCATGCACCTATAGGGATGCAAGAATGTCCTGACCAAAGGATGTTGTTTTAATTGGTGCCAAGTATGCATGATTTTACTCTGTATTTGTCTCTCCAAATAGGAGTGACACATCTGTTTGTATATATCATGCACAATTGTGTTATTGAAAGATTACTTGTGGAAAAAGTACGTCTTGCCTTAATTTTTTCTCATAAGTACTTCTCTCTTTGGATGATCACAAAAATATCTTTGGTGTGGGAATGTGAACATAGGATATTACATGAAGGAATGCCATTTTTCATTTGCTAAAAAAGTCAGTTATGTACAAAAGTCATCTAAAATGCTTTGTATACTTTTCTTTATTGATGTCCATCTATTCTAATGTGTGCTTTTATTACCCTTTATATCCTTTTCTGATCAGCAATGGCATTGCTCTCGCTGATATTATAGAAGTATACACATAAGCAAATGCAGTGTGAAGTGGGTTGGTAGGATGTTTCCTGTTCTTTTTTTCTTCTGATTTGCAGTTTAAAAAAAACACCAACAAACCTGCAATATATATATATGTTTATTTTAAAAGTAAAAAGCAAAATATAATCTCTATCAGAGCCTTGAAATATATCTTGTAAAAATACATATTTGTGTAATATACACACATAGAAATTATCATATATCTATGTATAAATGACATTTGTGTTAGCACAGTTTTAAGCCTTAGTAGTCTAATTTGGTGTAGGTGGGTTGACTGTTGTTTCAAAGTTACTTCTATTGAGATTGAAATGTTTACACCTATAAGGATTGTTCTGAATGCACTCAGTGCCTGTTGCTGTCTGCTCGAGTATTAAACCTGCTTTAGTAGTCCTTCTGATAGGCTTTGGATTCTGCTAAAATCTGAAAGCTGTAGATCCTGTTCTTTAACTGTTATCATTGACTGTTTCCTTTCCATTTATGTGTCTTTGTCCCATCATGTCCTATCTGTTGTGTTCCCCTGCTCCCAAACTGTTTTCAGAATTAAGATTTCTCAATTGAAACAAAGCCTTCATCTTTCTCATTGGGCTTTCATATTTAGTTTCTGAAGTGCACAGAGCTCATGTGGCTTTTTACTGTTCAATTACCATTCATGTTAAGTCTGTATTTAGCATGAACCCTGTGGTGTTTTTTCTTGCAGTGCCCTTGTCATTTCATTCACTGTTGACAAGTTGTAGTGCCAGGTCTGTATAAGAAATGTTTTTGCATGATGCCAGAATCTTTCAAGTGTTCTTTCTGCTTATCTCTGCTTTTGGTGTGACTTCAGTGACCCTGAAACTAATTGGGCTATTGTTAATTAGGTTTATATGAAAAGACCATTAGTTTTGTTGTTTATCTCATAGAAATCTTGAAGAAAGGAAGGAAAACCTTTTCATAAATACTTACACATGGCCTTCTTGTAGTAAGGAGAAGGGTTAAAAAAGCAAGCTGTTGTTGGAATTAGTATTTTCGGGTTTCCAGGAAGATTACTGTCTCAGGATAGACAGGATTTGTTCTCTTACCTGTTTTTAAAAGGGGCCTTCCTTTAATATGTAAACTCCTTCATCAAATATGCTGAATAATGTATTATAAAAACACCAAGCAAACATGGGGGTTTTATTGCCTCTCAGACTGCAGTAAGATAGAGTAGGAAGAAGGTTGTGTGCTACCTGGAAGACTGCATGGGAACTTACTAAAAACTGGGGTGGTGTATGTTAGCAAATGACACCTGCACTTGTACTAAAACTCCCTCCCCACATTCTTTCTGATTTTTTTCAATGATTGTTTAAAATATTTCTAGTACATCTTTAATTTTCAAGCACCTACAGTGAAAGTGTGGCAGAGGGGTAGTTAGATAAGGTTCTTGGACAAAGAAGAGACCTTTCCGCTTCTGTCTTCCGTTTCTTGTGCTAGCTGGTTTGTGTCAGCAACCTTAGGCCCTTTACCTCCTTTTCACAATTACCTCCTCTGACTTCTCAGCCTTGCCTCTCTCTCTCAATGGCATCCTTTCCTTTATCTTTTCATTTACATTATTCCTCTTGCTGCCAAAACATGACACTAACTGAATGTTTGTCATTCATTACACTGTTCAGGATGATTTTTTTCATTTTTGCTCTTATCTCTGGTTATCTGTAAACATCTTGTTGCAGGTACTGTTCCTGCTCTGCTTGAATACTGCTTGTAACATTATAGCCTAATTTGTGGTTGCTCCATAGGTACAGTTATATTGAAAGTGGTGTGAACAATCGCTTAATGTGTTGAAAGGTCCTGTCAAAGTGATTGGACTCTGATGGAAATAAGAGAGGTTCAGTTAAGGCACCCTCAGATGATTTTTGGCATTATTTTTAAGTCACTTCACCCTGGCTGATTTTGATTGAAGCAATGTAATATTCCTGTGATCTTCAGAGTAAGAAGCTTGAAAGTGAAATAAGCCTCAAGTGCTTTTGTAGTCAAAGCTGCAGTCCTGGAGTAGGTGAAAAATACCATGTTAGGACTTCAGTTAAATGCAAAAGTTGGCTGTAGGACATGCACCAGTACACCATCCTTATCAACAGGAGATTTCTTTAAAATGTCATTAAGTGTTGGTGGAAAAGTGATACAAATACAGTATTTTGTCTTTTGGTAGACAGACATTCCTTGGGGACAGGTTGTGATCTGGAAAATGTTTTAAGTAGCTACATTTAAATTGCAAATAAAATGAAATTGCAGTGATTTGACTAAACTAAATTGTTGTTTATTTTACTGTTCAGTATTTGGTTACTTATTACCATTCGTTTGAGGTGTGAAATGTATTGTTATGTCCTAGACCATAGCTAGTTTTCTAGTACTTGTGAAATCCTTTAATATGACAGGCGTCAAAGGAGTCTGAGTGTTGTGTTTTCTGAATGTAGCTGCTAGTCTTTGATTTATATAGGTAGATGCAAAATAAAGTTCTGGTTCTGAATTACTGCATAACAATAAACTTAAATGATGGAGCAGTTTGGGGATATTTATGGCTAAACTATAAAGGAATATGCCAGACACATCAGAGGACATAACAGTGCAGGTCCTTTCCAGCCCTAACTATTCTATGATTACACTTCTGTCTTAAATCAGTTGAGTCTAATTTTTAAAGTTTTGGTAGGTTAAAGTTTATTCACAGGCTTGAGATTTTCAATTGCTCGTCTGGTTATGGTTGTAAAACAACCCAAACCCTAAAATGAAACCCAACCAGAAACCCCACCCTACTTTTGTTAGCCTGGGACTAGAAGTGCATTGTTCTGATAGCTGTCTTGTTGTCTCTCTCTAGTCCCCCTCATCTATGCCTAGATATAGTTTATTAGAAACCACAGTGAAACACAGACTTGATTCTCCCCAGTGAAATCATGGCATAATGTACTGGAAGGATGTTTAGGTTTCTTTGATATGCTGAGAAGAGCATGTTTCTTTTTTGTTGGAGATGTGGCTTCTTGCTTATCAGTTCAAGGCTAACAGATGTCTGAAAATCGGACTTCTTTCATCACTATTTTTCCTTTTGGATTGCTGGAAGAGCAGAATAACACTTAGCTCTGCTTTGAATAGCCTTCAGCTATCACAACTAAAGAATAAGGATTTATTTTTATTTCACCCCTCCTAGTCTGTTCACTCTCTTGGATGGGATGGGATTTCTGGCATTCTGTTCCTTCCGTGGTTTCCAATTTTGGGGTCTTTCTCCCTCACAAATAGCTCTCAAGGATATGTCTGTACAGCTGTTAGGGCTTACCAAGGCAGCAATAGAATAACCTTGGTATGACTCCAGTTTTATAATTTTTCTCATTGTTGCTGTTAAAACTGGCAGAAGATGTTGTTGTAACTTAACTCACAGGCAGAAATGCAGAGAGTAATTACCATACACAGCACCCTCACAAAGAAGAGGTGCCGGGTAGAAAAGGTTGAGGAGCTCAGTTTTGCTTTAGAGCTAAAACCCTGGAATTTGTTAGCACATAGAGATGCATTTTTAAATATATTTCAATAAGCTTTCGGCATAAGGTGTTTCTGAAGTGCTCAATGGACAATGCTCTGAGTACTACTTGGTGTATGAAAATTGCTGTTGTATTTATGGTTATGTAAAAGCAAGAATAATTTCCAGAAAGCCAGGGTTTACTTGGACAACTGTAGTGTTGCCCAAGTTGTTACTTCTCAGTTTAACATCTCCTAAAGCTTGTTCAGATCTTAAATGTTACATCCTTCATCACCACCAGGATTTGTTTCTGACCAGAATGATTGAAGTTTGATGTCAGAGGGCAGGTACTTTTAGGGCTGTTGCATGTGGTTCAATATATGACTAATTCTCACCAAGTACGATTCTTTCAGAAGTGGACAGGTTTTACGAGAAAATACATGCTTGTAACTTTGAAATTCTGGTCATTTTTATCAGGAAGAGTGTTTTGGTGATTATAATTAGGTAATAGAGCAAATTGTTTAATGACAAGTCTGAGTAGCATTTATTGTGTTCTACAAAGAATAATGTGAATAATATTTTAAGCTGCCTATTGAACCTTGTAGGCTGCTTAAAATGGAACTAATCACTTACCAGACATTCATAAATCATTTATTAGCTTTCTGTTGCCTTTCAAACTTTAATATAAAAATACCTTAAAACCTTTTGTATTAATTACAACCTGCTGGCTAAGGATTCTGAGCTGTTGATTTATTTAGGAATTATGATTAGCAGGATTCTGAAATAATAAGTTTTATGACATTCTTTAAAACCTTTTATGATCTCTAAAAGCTGCTTTTTTAGCTTAGTCTGTTGGTTGCAGACCAGTAAACTTGACATGCAGATACTCTAATGTTGATCTGTGGAGTGAAATGGCATGTTTGTAGGTTGTAAATAGAGCAGTAGAAAGACAACAGTAGTAGCTTTGTGAAGTACATTAAAATACAAGCTTCATAATGTCAGCTACTCTACTATGAGGGTACTACACATGTTACTAGTCCCCAGGATGTGCAGCATAGCTTGCTTCTGTCACCTGACATTCAGTACTGGGTAGTACAGGATGCATCCATCTTTATGGCAGAGGAGATGGTGTATCCCAAGTGCAAGTTCTGCTGTGGAGTAGTTAGTATACTGCAACATCCTTGATTCAATAGGTAAAAGAAATATCTTCTCATTTTTATGAACTGTATGTATTTCTTGGAACTTGGAGTATGGTTTTCTCCATAAGTTACTGTTTAGTCTTTCTCACAAGTAATATATTTTCACATAAGGCAATACCAGAAACTACTTGGATTGGTTTTGGGGGACTGGTTAGGCTGAGTATGCCCAGCAGTCATTTGAAAAGGGGAAATTAAGAATTGCTAATATATGTGAAACTATCTTCAGTGTGGTAAGTAGCTGATGTCCTGGCTTTGAGCTCTATTTCCAAAGGCATCACTTGTGTGTTTCTAGGCAAGTTATTCCTGTTACTGATGCTTTACATCATTCTTTCCTTTATGCACAGAGGCATACACAGTTGTTTAATTTGGAACTTTAATGTGCATGTTTAGGAAATGATTGACAGAATCAAAATGGAAGGTTCGGACCCTCCAACTATTAAGTGCTCTGGAGCTGGAATTGCCCTTTGGTTTGAAACTAAGATGCCCTTATAATCTAAGGGGGAATACCAGTTAGCTTTCATTATGAACACAAATAGTACAACACAAGGGCATACTCAGGAAAATTGCAGTATATCTCAGTTGTCGCTTGAAAGAAGTGAAGGATTGTCTAACAAATATAGAAAATGGAAAATGCTTAGAATTGTTTAAAGTACAAATAAATATTTCTCAAATTTAACAGATTTTAGCATTTAATTTCCTACTTTTCTATGAACAGACATGCCTGTAACAATTCCTATTGGTCACTATTACTTTTTATGGACAGGTATTTATGTTAAGTCAAACAGAAAATGGAATGGATGGTTGATGAAACATACATGTTTTTTTAGTCAACCTTTTCATTAATGATGTCAATTCTGATAAAGATAAGCTACATAGAATCATGGAATCAACTGGATTGGAACACACCTTTAAGATTATCAAGTCTAGCCATTACCCTGGGACTGCCAAGGCAACCACTAAACCATGCCATACATCTGAAGGTGATCCAGTCAAACCTAAATGATTTTACTAAACTTTACTGAAATTTGCTTGCTAAGAAAGTGCCTTACTGGCTCAAGCAACTGTATTTGATCCACATTTGTTCTACATTTTGAAACAGACTTTGCAGATGTTGTTGTTCAGGTGTTAAGAAAGGTAACAATGCAGCTGGTGATGCTTCAGCACAGAATCACTTTACATTATACCTCTGGTTTAGGGACTTTTACCATTTTATTCTTTGAAGAAAACCAGGATTTTAAAAAACTGTCAATAGGATGGTTATAAAATAAAGTGAAAAACCTCTTAGTCCTCCTGTGTTCTGGCTGTTTTGCTGCATACTGTTTTAATCAGTGTATTTTAGAGTGGCAGTTTGCTTGCCTCTCGCTAACTCAGTTGTCAGTAACATGTTTCAACAGTATAATTCGGACAAATGATATGTGTGTCCTGAAACACTTCTCACAAGTCTGAGCTTCCATTTGATATTCAAAAAGGACACAGCTAACAAAGAATTCCACTAAGAGCATCATGTTTTGCTTCTAAACTATACCAGCCTTTCAGAAGCAGGCAGAAATATTTTCTAGCGTAACAGATAGTATTTGAGATCTAGTATATAGCTGAAACAGAACATTATGAAAACTTTTAATGGCTTATTATCAGAAAAATTTAGGTCTGAACGTGAGATTAGGTTGTAGCTGTCTGTAATGTCAGAGTGCCCTGGTTTCAGCTGTAACAGTTATTTTTCTCCTTCCTAGTAGCTGGTGCAGTGCTGTGTTTTGGCTTCAGTCTAAGAACAATGCTGATAACACGCTGTGGCTCAGTAGCACTTGCCCTGATCAAGGGCTTTTCAGTCCCTCGTGCTCTGCCAGTGAGGAGGGAGCAGAGACAGGACACCTGCCCCAAACTAGCCAAAGGGGTATTCCATACCACAACACGTCATGCCCAGTATATAAACTGGGGGGAGTCACCTGGAAGGCCCAGGTCGCTGCTCGGGTCGGGCTGGCTATCGGTCGGCAGGTGGTGAGCAATGGTATCGTGCATCACTTGGGTTTATTGTTTGCTTTTCCTTTCCTCTTTCAGTTTTATATTCTCTCCTCTTGTTATTTTCATTATCATTATTAGTATTATATTGTGCTTTTATCTCAACCCGTGGGGTTTACATTCTTCTGATTCTCCTTCCCATCCTGCAGGGGAGGACAAGGGGAGGTGGGGGGTGAGCGAGAGGCTGCGTGGTTCTGAGTTACTGTCGTGGCTTAAATCACGACACAGTGGAAAACTCATCTGCCTCTTTTACCTTTTAACTGGAGTCAGACTTCCCAGGCAGGTTACATAGAGGCTAGCGTGTTTTCATGCTATGTGTTATTTTGTTGAAAACTTTGAGTTGTCTAAAAATAGAATTAAGCATATTGTTTACAAATCTGTTGTATAATCAACAATTCTAATGCTTCAGTGGAATACTTCAGGAACTGGAGATTTTTATAGTGATAACTCATAGATACTAAAACTCTTGGATTGTTTCTGCGAACACTAATTTGATACTTGCCTGGAGAAAATCTCAGCAGGTAGATGAATTCACAGTGTAGTTTATCTGAAATTAGGAAGAACTTTAATCAGAAAGAGTACAAAGGAATGTTCTCTCAACATAACATAGCATGTAACAATGCAATGTTACTGACCTAATTTCTTGTTAAATGTAGTTTCTTATGTCATAGCTGATCAGTAAAAATAATGCAATTGAAAACTGCTCCATGGGTGAGTTTCAGATTACCGTATTAATGAGCAGTTTCAAGACTTAATACAAAGCCTGAACTCTCATGAAAACTATATTCTAAAAAAATACACATATTTTGTATGGTGTAGGACCACAGTACTTTTCTGTTCATTCATCTTTAGGTATAATATAGTAGTGTTGTCAGGTAAGTCATATTCAGACAGGAGGAAGAAAATACCTTTAGCTCTGTTCTCCAAGTAACTCAAAGGAGAATCTTTGAATTTGTTTTTAAGGAGGGGCCAGAAGGAAATGAATGTTACTGCTTGTGAACAAAACACATCCATTAACTAAAGCAAAACAATAATTGCAGCAACTGTAGTTATCAGTGTATATCTCTGATGTGGTCATAGAACTCTACATTAAAGCGTAAACAAGTGTAATAAAAATAACAGTGAAAACTCTGGTTGATACGACAATTTGGAAAATTTACGTTAATATCAGGTCAGGAGTTTTTATATCTTGTATGAGTTGGCAATCTGTTGTGCTGTTGTTTTTACCTGTTAATGGTCATGGCTCTTCTGGCTTTTTAACTTATAGAACACAACTGAAGCTACTGTTACTGTGGAGACCCTGGATGATGTACCTGAGCACGTGCTTAGGGGGCTTCCCGAGGACGTGAGGCTCTTCCCATCTGCTGTTGACAAGACACGGCTTGGTGAGTGCTACAACTGTGAAAAGGAAATGAAGATCTCTACACTAGATCACATGAATTACAGTTGCTGTGAAAGCTTGGTGCCTTTCTGTGCTGGGTGGAGATGATGTCTGGTACATTTATCTGAAATAATTTCTGTTGGAAAGAGCGGCCATCTTCCAAATTTCTCCATCATCTGAAGGTGATGTTCCTGGAACATCAGAATTGTTCAAAGATGGACCAAGGTCAAAGATGGACCAAGATGCAAATAGATTAGATTATGAAAATAACTGATATGATACTTCACTGCTGTGTTTTCACTTATAACACTTTGACTGTTACCAGCTTTGTGTTTTGCAACCGTTTTACTGTTGTCTCTCTTTAGAATGCTGCATCTTGCTGTCCAATCAATATAGAAAGTTTAATTTATAAGAACAGATTCAGCGCAGACTTGAAAGCTGCTATGTGGAGCAAAGTGTTGTTTCTGTAATATAGCCAAAACGCTTGGCTGCTTTTTTTAACACAGTGGGAGAACTTTGATGGAAGTCAGAATTGCAGACTGGGTACTTGATGTTGAAAGCTGGTGGTTTGAGGACTAAGCCTGACAACAGATGCATTACTCTTAGTAGCAGGTTACAAGCTCCTTGGAGCAAGGTTGATCTTTTCTGCTACGAACCTGATCTAGCATGGTCTGAATGAGAATGTTGTATTTAATTAACAATTACTTGTCAATCTGTTCTTAGTTTTCATGCTGTAAATGTGAAATGCACATGTCCATTTTCAGTTTGGTTAAATCTTGTCAATAAAGCTGTGGGCAGATGCACGTATTTTAACCAATCCTAAATGATTTTTCCTTTAAAATATAGTATCCATTAGTTGTAAAATGTCTGTGGGGGCTTCATTTGCCTGGCATTTTTTCAGAGAAAGCAAATACAATTGTTGTTTAATAAGATATTTATGCAGCAAAACAGCTGAAATCTGCGACGTTACAATGTAAAACCTGACATGCTCTTACAATATTTTCAATATCACATGAAGTACAAGAAAAATGCAGGTTGTTTTTTATCTTCAGAGCTACAGTAGCCCATATGAACAAAGAATGAAACTAGATAAATGCTGAAAGCTTTCATGGTTCAAGTGAGTTTTGGAAAGCGGATTGTTGGAATTCATTTTAGTGAACTTCAAATTCCTTATTGCGATCTTAATGTAGGACGCTCCCCCATCTGAAACAGACTCATATGATGTTCTGAAGAAGTATGATTTGTGAGTAGAATATTTGCTCGAGATAACTTAGATTAGTATTAACTCCTGGCATGTGTCTCTTCAGGTGTCTGGGCAACAAAATCAATTTTAAAAGGGAAGAAGTTTGGACCATTCGTTGGTGACAAGAAAAAGAGATCTCAAGTTAAGAGCAATGTATACATGTGGGAGGTAAGAAACAGCTTGTCAGTGGAAAAAGGTGTCTGTCACTAGCTCAAGATTTTGTGTTTAACCTTTATTTTTTCCAGAGATTTTAGAAATAGACATGATGGGAAATAATTGCCATCAGTCTATGTCTACCATTACAGTTATTTATAGACACTTGGATTGAGCAACCATTCTGAATTGCTTTGAACTACTGGCATAGTTTAAACTGCTGTATTAATTTTCTTACATATTGTCTCTGGATCACACCTCCCCTTAAGAGTCTATTGCTGCTAAAGCTTTGCTTTGTTGGCTTGAACCCTGGGTAATATCCCTTCTGCAGCTGAGTACTGTCAACTGCTCATGAAATTAGGGAAATTAGGAGGATATAGAATCTCTTAAGGAAGCCCCAGCACTCCTCCCCATTTAGCTCTTTGAACCCAGCTGTGTTACGGGAATTGGTTTTGCTCTTGGAGCATTTGTAAAAGCTGTCAACTTGTGCTGCTTGTGTTTGGGCTTGCCTTAAAGCAAACACTGTCTGGACAGCTGAATCACACTTTACCTCTACTGATAGTCATAAGATCTCAGATACTTTGTAGATTTCAAAATGTAGGTGCCTTAATCTGGTCTTGAATCCTATCTATGTTGTCTTCAAGGCAGTTCATAACTACTTCCAAAGGCTTCTTCAGTCTTTCTGGAGACACATAGAGCAAATGGCTTTATCAAAGTGAATGGTTGAGGAGGGGAGGAGCGGAGGAGCTGTGGCATACCATGATCTGGGACAGTTTACAGCTCTGTAGGCCAAAGATACCGATAGTAGCATCCTTCTGGTCCCTGGCCTGCGAAACTTGAGCTGCATAAACCACTGGATACATACAGATAGATACAAAAGTTAATGTTAACCTTTATCAGAGGAGTTAATCTAGAGCAATTTCCTGTACATGCAGATTCACAATCAGGAAAGTAATGAAGTGTTCAAATACAATGTTTGTTGCACTGAGCTAATATTATCAGAAACTCCACTGCATGAGGTATCTCCAGTTTTGATCTGGTACAAGAACACTTGGTGAGATTGAATCAGCCAAGTAAATTATTGACCTTGTGGCTGTTTTTCTCAGTGCTGGATTTTGAGTGTTCTCAGTGGATGTGCCTTAATATTTTTAAAATTTATATTGAGAAATGATAGTTGCAAACAAGCTGCTACAGAATTCTGTAGTTTGCACTGCAGGTGATGGTGGGAACCCTTGCTAGATGGCAAAGGAATCCTGTGTTGATTTAATACTGATTTTGGGATTGAAAAAAAGCAGCTAAAATGAGACTGCAACAGTTGGCCGCATATGCTGATATCTGAAACCACTCCAGAATCTTCTCTGTTAGAAGATACGGTTTGTGAAAGGATGGTGGTGTGTGGGAGTAGGTAGGTGTATATGGATCTCCAACTAGGAGAACAACCTTTTCCACAGGAATCCCATTTGTTTCTTTAGTAAAGTTAAACTGAAGCGTAAGTAAAGCTTCTCAAAGCCTCATCTCTAATGAATTTTAATAGTTTTGAACTGTTGTGCTGGAGGATCCCTCTGAAAGCCGTGAGTCCTGTGTGTCAGTGCCATGTCTGAGGAGAGAAATAGAGACTTGAGCATATTTTCATTCTCTGTCGGAGAAAAGCCACAGATAAGAAAATGACGGCAAGTGAGTGAAAACCAAGGGAATGCCGCCAGGCGATTTGGAATGACTGGCACAACTGTGCTGAGTGATCTTTATTGTGGTTTTCAGGAGTCGCTTAAAGTCACAATGTTCTATAGAGGACTTGGAGCTGGTTCCTTTCGAACGGTGCACAAGGCCTGTAAACAATCTGTGAATTAGAAGCTTTAACTACAAAGTAATGAAATATTTTGCTTTGTGCGAAAACCATAATTATGTGACTATTTAATAAAGTAATACATTAAAAAAGTAATAAATCATTATTTTGCTAAATCTTCCTTACCTGCTACCTCTTCCACAGCATTGTTCAGCTCTCTTCTTCCATTTTAACCAAAAGACTTGCTTTTATAGTCTTGGTCTGTGCAGCTGTTTGTGCTCTTTCATACTGCGAGGGCTGGGTGTGCTGATGAACATTCTTTCAAAAGTCAGCTGATGAAATCCATGCTGGAATAGTTTAAATAACTTTCTGTTTGCTTGGAAAGAAACTAAGAGTATTTTAGAGTATTTATTGAAACTTTATAAATAAAAGTCTATTTTATTAGACCAACAGTTTATCAACACATAAGAAGTGTATTAACTTAAAATTATTTTTAAACTCATTTATTAAATTATTACATTAGAAATTATTAAATGGTTCTTGTTTTAAATTGCAGTAGAAGTGAAATTGAAAATGTAAAATCATAGAATCATAAAATGGTTTGTGTGAATCATAAAGCTCCTCCAGTTCCAACCCCTGCCATGGGCAGGGACACCTTCCACTAGAGCAGGTTGCTCCAAGCCCCTGTGTCCCACCTGGCCTTGAGCACTGCCAGGGGTGGGGCAGCCACAAGCTTCTCTGGGCACCCTGCGCCAGTGCCTCAGCACCCTCACAGGGAAGAGTTTCTGCCTTATCTCCAACCTGAACTTCCCCTGTTTCAGTTTGAACCCGTCACCCCTTGTCCTGTCACTCCAGTCCCTGATGAAAAGATGGTTTGAAAATAATTACTTGTAAGTAAGTCTCAGGAACAATAAAATGCTACAACATTTGTAACAAAATGGGAAGTTTACAGTAGAATCAGAATTTTACTGTATTCCTTATGTGCAGTGGTGCTACGTGAATAAAGCAGGAGGTAATGAGCTAGGGAGGATGGGTTTGAAAAGAGCTCTTCCAGGCAGAGGCTGATGTTTAGAGACTTGACCAAAAGGAAAAAAGCAAGTAAGAAAATACAGTAAAATTACACATTTTTTTTCCTTTCTTGTTGTTCTTAAAACCTGTGGGCTGCCCAGTACTTCTGACACGTGTGTACCTGGTAGTACGTCTGTGTTCAGAGACAAAGTGATGGAAGAATGATAGTTCCACTTGCCAAAGTGGCGTGTTATTTGGTTGGGGAGAAAAGCCGTATTGCATCCACTGATGACTCTTCTTATAGGCATCTAACTTGGGTTAGAAAACGAAGAGTGGGAGATGCAGAACATGTCTTGAAAGAGAAGCAGAGTTGCCTGTCACCAGGAAGCACTGAAGATGTCAGTAACCTTGCTTTATTGCAAGCTGTCTTGAAATGTAAAACAGGAGTAGGTGTTGAAATTTTTTCTCCAAGAATGTGAGCCAAAGAATTTACACAGCATCTTGGAACATGGAGCAGTTCATTGACATGGGCAGTTTTTTAAGGTGATCACAGGGTTTCTGAAAGGTTAAGATCTTTAATACCCTGGAAAAAGATTAAGTATAAATTATGCTTTCCTTTTCCTTCCCAAATAAAGAAAATGCTTCTAACTTCTATATACTTTTACCAGTTCATCAGAAAGTAAAAATAAGGCCCTATTGCCTTTATATCTTAAAATCAATCATTTTAGTAAACGCAAAATATACAGAATCATTTCAGGCTTGCCAGACTGAAAAGAAAGCACAAAATGTTCTAAGTATTTTGGCTTTTGAGCCCAAAACCTCTAGAGTAGGAAATTACTTTCTTTTTCCCTCAATTGCAGCAGTTCCACTAAAAAGCTTGTAGAAAGCCGGCAACACTTCCCCTGTACAGCCCCTACCTCTGCTCACATCCTTTGTGTTATCTCGGTCCTTAGATGATAACAACTACTTTGTATAGCTTTAAAGTACACAGAGTTTTGGTACATGTACATTTCAGTGTTAAGAGTTGTCCATTTGCTTAATGCCTTTTGTGTCTCACAGGTGTATTACCCAAATCTGGGATGGATGTGTGTCGATGCAACTGATCCAGAGAAAGGGAACTGGCTGCGGTATATAAACTGGGCACGTTCAGGAAAGGAGCAGAATCTGTTTCCTCTGGAGATCAACAGAACCATATACTACAAAAGTTTAAAGGTACTGATGTCTGAAGAATCAGTTACTGCTCTGTTACCTTTTATTATTAATACTTTTAATTCCCCTTTATTCAAATCCTATTTTTTTTACATTTGCATTGAACAGATTTTGAAACATTTTATGAAACTTAATTAAAATGTTGCAGATGCTATGTTTCATCAGTCTAAATTCTTCTGTGCCAGTAAACATTAAGATCTACTGTTAAAATATAGGATATGTATGAACACTAAACCTGTCATGTTAATGATCTGCTGTAGCACCAAATTTGATACAAATGAATGAAGAACTATAGCAGATTACATAAATGTTTTTTCTATTTCTGTAGATACTGAGACACTTTCTCCTGAGGAGCTTTTGCAGAAATCAGTTATTTTTATGGTCTTTGCATCAAATGACAAAGATTGGTTGTCAAGACACTTTTTATAGGTAGCTTCATGAAACGAATTTTCCTGGTTTTAAACCATTCCAGTTTTATTCGGGGAGTGGGAGGCAGGAAGAAGGGTGCAATTCCTGGGACATTGTATCTCCCAAACCAAGAAAAAAATTGGTTTAACTATAAGTAACGGTAAGAGTGTGTTAGTGTTAGACTACTGGGGCTATAAAGTATTATTTGAATCTTTGATCAAGAACCTACCAGCAGCTAGTAGTAGCTAACAACTAGTAGCTCAACTTTGGTTTTATTTAAAATGCTTTTGTGTTTTTTGGGTATATTCAGACTTGCTGTTAGGTTATTGCTGTTACTTATGTTTTGCTTGTAAGGCTGACAATATCTATAAGTGACTGATCTTCACTTAATAAAAGAATGAGTTTGATATCACTCAGTTTTGAAGTTATAGACAGTGTAGCAATATGTAAAACTGTCATATTTTAGGTCACTCAAACCACGTTGAAAAAAAGCCCAAACTTCTAAACTTTCTGAACTTTCTGGTAGCTTTGGGATAGCATTCAGGTAGAGGTTCACTGTTGACAGCCAGACTGTTGACTTCAGTGTTCATCCACTGAGGGCAGGCTCTCAGTGTGAATCTGTAGCCAGCTTGGTTTTCTCTGGACACTTTATCTCAATGTGCCTCGCCTTTGCCCATAGTCACACTAGTTCATTAATGAAAGTGCTCTTTTGGAGTCACTCTGATATTGTAAATTTCTCTCTCATTGAATGTTTTGAGCAGTTTTAGAGGTTTTAGTCCTGATAAAAACAAGCATTTGCTTATTCCAGGTTTGTTTTCTGATGGATAATACTGCACTTTGGAAAATAATTGTACCTCTAAAGAGGCTGACAATAACAAATACCTTGCCTCAGCATGTGAAATATCCTTTTGTTCCTTTGACTGTCTTCCCTTGCAACCTGATGAATTTTATCCTAGTAGGTCTTGCCAACAAGATCATGCTGCCAAGCAGCTCTTTCTGAGGATTGTTAGAGCAGCCTATAAAGATCAGTTTTAGTGTTTCAAAATCGGTCTGGGATTTGTTGCAGTGTGAGATTTTGAGTTTGGGATGCAAAAGGGTTCTTCAAAGAGCCATCTTCAGTTGCCCCTGCAGCATCCACTTAGATATGTGTGCACTGTGGGATTGTTTCTTAGCTTCAGCTCAGGGTTGGCAGTACCAGCCCAAGTCAAGCCCCTGGAAATTCATCTTGGTGTTTGCACTGTATGCTAATTGGAGGGAGTGTTCCATCAGGAATGGTGTTACCTCCAGGCTGCTTCTGTGCAAAGGCTTGCTGCTCTATTTCTTCGAAGCCAGTAGGGAAGCAGCAGCCCTGAGTAGTTTTGGGCTTGGGTTTCACACACAGAGGTCACTGGGCATAGAACCATCAAGTTCTGTCCTGTAGACATAGTTACAGAAACACAGTTTGGTCATGCTCAAACTAGTTCTGCATGAGCCAGGGTAGGATGGCTTGTTATTAATTCCAGCTTCATGCTGCTCAGGAGTAACCAAGCAGTTTTCCAGGACTGAGTTAGTCCAAGAAACCTTGCAGCTAAGGTTCAGTGATGCACTCCTGCTGTTCTTTGCTTGTCACTGCAACTACAACACTCTTGCTTCCCTGGGCACCCTTTGCCAGCACCCCACCACCCTTACAGGGAAGAGCTTCTGCCTTATCTCCAACCTGAACTTCCCCTGTTTCAGTTTGAACTTATCACCTGTTGTCCTATCACTACAGTCCCTGATGAAGAGTCCCTGATGAAGGTCCCTCTCCAGCATCCTTGTAGCCCTCTTCAGTCACTGGAAGCTGCTCTGAGGTCTCCACGGAGCTTCTCTTCTCCAGGCTCAACAGCCCCAATGTTCTCAGTCTGTGTCTGTATGGGAGGTGCTCCAGCCCCTGATCATCCTCGTGGCCCATTAAACATTCAGCATTCAGTCAGCATACTGATAAATCAGGTCAAGATTTAGAAAGTCACATTTTGTGGTTTTTAATAGCACAAGTGGACTATTCTTGTAGTTTAATAGGAATATTTTAAATCCAATATTCTCTTTAATTTCTTGTCCATTCCAAGAATATGAAAACCAAAGGAAGGCTTTAAGAAATCTTGTTTGTCTAGTGTTTTGTAAACTTACTTTTCATTATTTAGTGACATATTTATAGTAACCAGGCTTTTAAAATAAAGGTAGTGAGAAGAAATTGGAACTTAAGCTGAAAGTGACTGACAGTGTAGGAGAAGTATAACATAGAGGGAGGAGATTTTGAATGTGTGGTCTCAAGGGCAAGTTACTACATTAAAGCATTTAAATATTGTCTCTTGTATCAGTTTTTACTATCCTAACCCTTAGAAACTGCGGGGAAAATTCATGCCTTGGAGGAAAGAAAAAGGTGCTGTTTTTGCTTTCTTTATAAAATATGGTTGCTTATATAGCTCCTTTTTTTATTTAGAGGTTTGTTACTGTCTCAGCTTCTGCATCAGGTGTTGTTCTGGTAGAGTCCATATCGGTCTTAGATTCACATCACACCTTACTGATGATTGAGACGAAAGCAGATAATAACATCTTATCTGTCTTTCTGCATGTGTTCTGTGGATGCACTGCCATTCCAAAACTATTGTAAATTTACCAGCCTAAGTATGTACACACGGTTCTTTCCTGATCTTTATCATAACTCATAAATTTAGGGGAATTCCTTTTAGTGGTAAATCAATGACACTGTTTTTATTTACCCCCAAAAGAGAATTTGAGTGGCTTATACTTAATTTTATTCTGCTTTACCTCAAAGTATTTAAAATATTGTCATGGCTCTTTATTTATTTTTTTCCCAAGGTTTTCCTAAGTTATTTGTGGGTTCCTGATTTGTAAGTTCAACAGGCTGATTTCCAAGCTTTATTGCTGAGATGAGTAAAGTCCAAATTTGTTTGGTGAAAAGAACCTTAGAACTACACAGAGCTTTAACTTCCCTCTTCTTTGCCCTGAATGAATAGTAATGGGATAGAACATTTACGTGAGCACAAGCATTCTCTTCATCCTTATGGAAGGACTGAGGATATTTGGAGGCTGCCTTGCATATGCTTTCCCCAGGATGCATATATGAGAGTTGTTTTATTTCGATGAAACAGCTTAAACTCGTTATGGAGTTTCAGAAGTTCTTCCTGCCTCTTCCTAGTGAAATGAGCCAGTTGAATAGTGTTGTTCTGCACAGAGCACAGGACTTTGTAATTCCTGAAGAAGCAGAACTGCAATGAAAAGTCAATTCCAAACACAAGTATTAATGCCACTAGCTGTCCACTTTGGTTACACTTGGTGAGATAAGGCCACTTTGAGGTGCAAAAGTACAGTGTGACAGTAAAATGTAGTGTCTGGGGTGAATAATATCTGCTCTAATAGTAGATATTTTATACAGGCAAATGCCTGTCTCTGTACAAGACGCATTGTGGTGCTTGTATGTGTAGAGTGAATTGAATTTTAGACAATCTGTGCTAGAACTTCTTAGGATGTGACTTGTTAGGATATTTTTGTAAGGACTTTTATGACTTTCATTATTGTGACTAACTGGATCTGCTAAACATGGAGTTAGGACTTTTTATAAGAGCAGCTAGGGACAGGACAAGGGGAATGGCTTTAACCTGCCAGAGGGGAGATTGAGATGAGCTCTTGGGCAGCAGCTCTTCCCTGTGAGGGTGCTGAGGCACTGGAGCAGGGTGTCCAGAGAAGCTGTGGCTGCCCCATCCCTGGCAGTGTTCAAGGCCAGGTTGGACACAGGGGCTTGGAGCAACCTGCTCTAGTGGAAGGTGTCCCTGCCCGTGGCAGGGGATTGGAATTGGATGAGATTTAGGGACCCTTCAACCCAAACCATTCTATGATATATCTCTTGAAAATAACAGGTTTTTAGATTACTTTAAACCTTTTGAACAGAAAATGCTCAGACTAAGAAATGCTAAATATTGTAGTTAAAGCACCAAAAAGCATGTGGGAATTATTAACCTGATGAGACTTTCCAAAATCCTTACGGTTTTTAGTCAGGCTATGCCAACCTGACGTGGCTGCTCAAACAACCTGTAGGTAATAGTTTGAAGGAGGTTGGGGTTTGGGGTGTCGTCAGTAAAAGGTGGTGTTCTGTAGTGTACTAGCGGTAGAAGTGGCACTTGGTCAGTGTAGTCCTCTTCTAGCTCTATTGATAGTGCAGGAGTGTTTTAATTGTCTGGTTCTGAAGCTGCTGCGCCATCTCATTTCAGAAGCACACGGTTAGAGGCCTTAATTTGGATTCTAAAGTAGTTACACCAGAACTAAATTCACCATGCTGAACATCCGCTCCAGCCATGCAGCTAACAGATTACGTGCTCCTTATCATCCCGTGTTTGCATTGCCTACAGTTTTTGCCAGCTCTTTTCTCCGAGGTTTTGTTTAGATGATAAGTTGTTTGCATCAGACAACTCTTCTTCATTCCTTGCTGCCAAACAGCTGTGAAACAGGACCATGCAAATGGGTTTACCACTATTTACCCTATCAGGCCTCCAGAAGTATTACAGAAGCCAAACCGTAGGCTGTGCTTATAATATAACTTAAACAGTTGTTGGGATCTT